TCGACCTTGAATACAATCTCGTCCCCAGAGCGTGCGCGATTTCGGTCAGCTGCTGACCAAAAGGATGGCGGTCTCTGGGAACGAGATTGCCCTAGCACATCCCCTGGCATGAGTAGGGCGGTTACCACTGAGAGTAAGAGTGTGGTCTCAGCAACACACAAGTCAAACAACTGAAAACAGCAGTAATGGAACAGGTCCTCTAATGGAACACCCAGTCATCATGGGGCACGGGTCATAGTCTTTCCCATAGCAAAGCGAAAGAGGGACTACTCGTGGTCTACTGAGTATTCAATTAAAATGTTTTTTGATGAACGCCATCTTCTTCATAGAAAGATTAAAAGTGAGGAGGACCACGTGCACTAGGAGTGTGTCAATGGTGTGACTTGACGCAGCTTTTATAGTAAACAACATCTTATTTTATTCTTTCAGGAAAACCTCGCAAATGCAGAAGGATAAACGACAAAAGAAAACTCGAAACGGAGACGAACTCTAGGGACTCTCGACATTAGTTTTAGCGTTTCCCACATGGAAATTTGACTGTTTAATTTTGTGATGTATGCATATGTAGAACACAATCCCTAAAGGTTGGTCCTCCCCAACGCATGGCAATGATGAGCGCCTGGAACTTCGGTTCACCTTTCTGTTGTTACGATTGCTTTTACCTCCCCTGGGCGCCTGCGCGCCTACTTGCAGCTCTCCCCAGCCTCTTCTCGGTCTATTTTCCCTCGGCCTATCAGATTAATTGACCAACACCAGAAAATCAAAGACAAAAGTTTTACATTAGACGGCTGTTTGCATCAACTTTGAAAGTCCAAGTAATTTTCTTCTAAGAATAAAGTTGTACAATACTTGTAGTGTTCATTTTGGGAAGACTGTGGATTTAACGCGCACATGAAGTCAAAAAAGAAAATTACAAGAGCGTCTTGAAAACGTGAATCTTGATAAACTTTATTCAAATGTTCATACATGCGCATATCTGTATGTACAATAAGTTTTGATATGATTTAGCAAAGATAAAGGTCGGCATACACGAGGGGACTAGTCGACTAGTTTTTGCAACAAGTCGCGGGGACAAGCCCCATCGTGTGAGCTAGCCATTTTTGCCACAAATCTAGTCGCAAGGACTAAAAAATTTGGTCCTGCGACTAGTCACACGAATTCAAACTGGTTTGAATTTTTGGGACAAGTCCCTGCGACTTGTTCTTCAAAACGCTTGGTGTGAACTGTTCGTGGGACAAGTCCCTGCAACCAGTCCCTTCGTGTAAATTCTTCAGGGGACTAGTTGCAGGGACTAGCCGCAATGACTAGTCCCCTCGTGAGTGCCGGCCCTAAAAGACATTTCAACATTTTCTGATATAACAAGTAATTTTTCCTCACTCCGCCTCACAATATATTATATAATACAACTAAAAGTACGCGAGTTATACGATTCAAATTTAAATAGAAACCTTGTCACACAAGAGTACACAATATCCAGAACAGAGAAAGCTAGACAAATTTCACCGAGACGGTTAACATGAATGTTTTAAAGAAGGATTTTGTTCCTGAATTTCAAAAGACGACTCTGGCTGAGATGTTAGATATTCAGATTCACACGTTTAGTTACAGTGCAGAAATTCCTAATATGCTTGAAGTCAGATAAACAACTTGTTGTCATGTCAATGAATCTCTCGCCGAAAATCAAATCTGAAACTGGTATTTCTTCCCGGAATTCCTGTCCATGTTGAAGAACCAAGCTTTCGGGCTCTTTTTGCGCAAACTGTCCAAATTTTCCACTTATTCGTCTTTTGGACTGCTGAAAGAAAGCGTCCACCGAAGAACAGCAATTCTCGCTCGGTCTAACACTGCTTGAAACGAATCCATAGCTGGTCGGACGTCAAGTGCCACGAATTCTCCTCTCTTGTAAGCTTCTTCGTCACCGATGTCGTAGTAATCGATAATGTATCGGACTTCCCGACCGCAGCGATCGACGACCCAGTCGTGACGATCAAATGGAAGCTCGTAACTGGGAAAATGAGCAAATATAATGTATTAGAAGAAAAGCAAAACGGGAAAGTTAAACTTAGTTTTTAAACTATCAATCAAAATATTCTGGGGCGCTTGGTATGAGACCATCTTAGGGTGCTTCATATCCCCAGCGGAGAGGAGGCAGGGAGGGGAACTCCTATGAGATAGTGACAGCAGTGATCATCAGTAATTTCATAGGTCAGCCCTAAAGGTTCTGTGGGCGTGGCTCAAATTCTTGCAACCAGATAATCTAAACAAAAAATTAGCCAACAATTAAATAACTTATCCTGGCAATAAAGACAGTAATTATTATTGCTTTGAGTATCTTTCCAGCTTTTTGAAAATCATGAGCTAAAAGGTGCAGGGATAAACCACAGCGAATGCTATCTGTTTTGCACCCATCTAAACTCATGGTAAACTTTCTATTTCGAGTTCCTCCAACAATTGGATTCTGTCCTCAAATTTTGTCTTCGACTGCTGCTTTTATGCTTGAAAGTATGAACTGCCTAGCAAGTATGAGTAAAAAGTAAGATCAAGGTTTCCTGTTCAAAGTGTAAGTTGGCGTCTGAGTGAGTCAAAGCGAATCAGCGGTTGACCGGTTACATCACATACTTGACTTGAAAATCCTAATGACCCCATCCATTCACACAGATAGTTTGGTATTCTTTAATTATAAAAAAAAACATGATATAGAATGATTCAAGATACAGAAGTTACATACTGTATGTGGGAGTGAACTCAATCAAGTTGATGTGGGTTTGAACTCACTCAGGTGCAAAACCTCCAGCCAGCACCCCAGTAAATTTTCCCTACTGATGAGAATGAACGTATCCATCTTACCCCATCCAGCTTCGTATTCTTGCTCTTGGTGAAAACTCTTTTGCTTTTCCTTTAAAACTTAGCAATTTGGGTGTTCCGCATTCCCTGTAGATATAAATTAAGTTTATTAGGCTAAAACATCACTTGGGCTCCTTTTCACCTGTTTATACCCATATAATAAAATTTCCAGGGGTCATCTGTACTTTCACAAACCCAGTTCGAAGATACAGTGGAACCCTGCCTTATGGTCACCCTGTTAATACGACCACCTCTCTATTACAGCCATTTTTTTGGTCTGAACAAAAGCTCAGTCAGTCATTTTCTTATTTAAAGAACCCCTTTAATACGGCCACCCTGTTAATATGGCCAGATTTATGTGGCCCATTTGGTGACAAGATTAACGGGGTTCCACTATATTACAACAAACAAGCACAAATCTATATAAACAGGTGAGCACGTTTTCTACTTAAACACAATTATTTTAATCTTACTTGTAATGAAGCGCTTCCCATTTCAGAATCTCCTGCCAAGCAGCCTCATTGTTGGCATTATGAATGCGGATGATATTGTCCATGTCGCTAGACTGTACTTCATCGTCCTGCCATTTCCAGCCCTTACGTAGCATTGCATTCCAAAACATCTGCTGCGAGGGATACACCCAGTTCTCTTCCTTGCCAGTACCCCCTCTAGGGATGGATGACACCTGACGATTGATTGGCAGAGGGAATGGCTGGCCTGGAGATGGTTGTTGGTTTGGTGGAGGCATCTGTAAAGAAAGAATGAAGGACTGTGAATTTCTCCTTACAATTACATCAATACTCCTCTAGCCTTACTAAGAAATACAAACACCTACTACGAGTGGAACCTGCCTTAGCTCGCCTCATTAATACAGTCACCTCATTATTATGGTCACTTTTTTTGTCCTGGTGAAACATCCACGGATACATTTCCTTATAAGAAAACCCCATTAAAATGGCCAGTCATTAATACGACCAATGGCCACATTGTAAAATCCCAACCTGTATAATCTTTTATAATTTTACATTGTTTATACCACCACTCGGGCCAGTTAGGCTCATGTTTTAATATTGTACGTACTGATCAGAGGTTTCCATTTTTGTTTAATTATATCTGCATGTAGAATGCTTATTAAATAACAGTTTTTTAGAAGTGCAATTGTGATACATCTGTTAAGATGTCAATCAATTTAAACTAGTCATGAAATTTGACCCTACCTCGTTAATACAGTTACCCAGTTAATATGGCCAAATTTTCATGGCCTGTTGGTGACCGCATTAATGGGTTTCCACTGTATTACAGTCAAAACTTCCAACACATTTTGCCTAAATAATGACCAATGCTTTCAGTTATCCAACCAACCAGTTTCTCCTTTACAATATTTAATAAACTGTGAAGTAGACAGTTGTAGAGAATTTAGAAAAAAATACTGGATTTGGGAAATTGTCTTCACATACATACCACACCAAATTCTAAACACTGACATTAAAATAATAAAATGTAATGTGGAAAAGAAGGAGAAAAACTCTTTCAAGGGTAGGACTAAAAGTAAGATTATGACTTTTACCATATTAGCTGGGTCCAAGGCATCTGCACCCTTATCAATAGCAGCACTGTCACAACCTGTTCCAGCACTAATGGGACACTGACTGGCTTGAAGTTTCACCATGCTATCTTGATGGACTGGGCATTCACTGATTGACGGCTTTGATGTTCTGTCAGGTGCTGGAGAACTGTGTTGAACTGGACATCCACTGGTGGGTGCTTGAGTGACAATAGCGGCACTGCCACCAGCATCTGATGGAACTGGAGTTGATGAGCTCCCACCCATTTCTGGAAGTAAAAGAATTATTAGGTCAAATTTATCTGGGACTATTATGGAAGATGAAAACATTTTCTCGGTAAAGAAGTCTGTATATGAGCCAAGTGGCCCACCAGGTGGGTTTTATCCTGGTTTCAGAAACATGAAGCAACTAGGAGGGAGACAGAGGCACTGTGAGAGTAAAGTGCCTTGCCCAAGAACACAACACAATGTCCCAGGCCATAAATCAAGTTATTTTTTACACACTTAATCATTGAACTAAATAAATTTGGTGACCCCCAAATGTTTTTGCAGTCACTTGAGAGCATGCAGTCCATAACCAATCTGCACGCTATCTTTTTCCCAGAACAGTCTCCCAGAAAACTGATATGGTGAAGATAAGAAAATTTCTCACCACAAATTCACTTGTATATCAAGCTACATCTTCCCATACAGCTGAGCAAAACACAACACTTCGTTTTCGATGCATTTGAGTTGCTGGGCATAGTTTTGTCGTACCCCACACGATTTCACCACAGTACTGTACTGTAATACAGCCATTAAGCTTATGTTATAGGCTGAATTTTCCCGTCTAGCCCATTAAAATCGAAAAGATAAATAGACATACGCTATAAAAATCAAAACAGAAAAAATTCTGAGATCACGACGACAACGTGCAACGTGCAACATAGAAGTTATGTCACATTCTGTTCCTTGATTTTCTTCACCAGGATGTGCCTTATATTTGTCAAAATAATTTCTTAAATAAGTTACTAGAGAGATTATAACTTCTGACCTGTTTTAAAACAGATGATCACCTTTATCCTGCAATAAAAACTCCAACAAAGTAACTTGGAATATTGTGAACTGGCAATGCGTGTAAATCCAAGCAGACTTGTCCCCAGGCTACCTCAATCACTTTTGCGTGACTGGGACGTTGAACAGGAGCTCGACGCGAGGTAGGTACGTCCGACGCGGTAAGTACGTCATGTATGGAGCTTAGTCGGGATCGGGACTCCTCTTAGGGGACTGTTTGTCGCAATTATGGTAAGTCGCCGCCTGAAACTAAATAAACGCTATTTCCTGAGACTCTATGGGGCGAGCTGAAAGGGTCCTGCTTACGCGTCCTTCAAGGGTTGAACTGTAGAAATCTTCACCCCCTCCCCGCCTCTGGGGAGGGGGGTACTTTCATAAATGAGCTATATACGCAGCTGTGAAGGGTATGGTTTGCTTTCAGGCAGTTTAGTTTGGGATAGGCTATAGAAATCAGAGAGTTTTGTAATTTACCAGAAAAGTGGCCAATGTATTTAATTATTTAGAACAGGGCTCTTAACCCGGGGTTCTATAATAGAAATTGAAACTCGAAAGTGACTTTGCAAGATATTGGTTTAGTTAGCGTATGTTTAGCCTGCGAGCAAGCTCACCCTTTAGCTTTGAGTCACACGCGCGAGCGGCCAAGAGCAAAGCGATCCGGTGGGGTGGAGTCTGGTGAAGAGGTGTCAAGAATTAAAGTGAGCCTGCTCGCAAGCTAGCGTGTTTTCGACTAAGATAGTGATATAGTTTCTGCAGGGAAAATAGCCAGTCTGGGATAGGGCAGGGGTTTATGGTGCCTAGTCTAGAATAGGGCTGCAAAATCAAGATGATTATAGTCTAGTATAGGGTAATGGTTTCAGTGTTCCAGGGGCACACCCCAAAGTTTTACAGAATACCCCCAGCCCCGGGCTCCTGTGGCAAATTAAGGTCATCCAGATTTGTTTTCTCCATTCTTAATTACCTTTCTGTGACGTTTAGCTTGCTAAAGTCTTTGATTAACTCTCGAAACTTCGGCTT